CTGTGAAAACCATCCTATTGGCTTAAGTATACACATAGGCCTATAAATAGTGTGAAGTAGCAATCAAATCAATAACAATTCACCATTTGTTTTGTCTGTTATCTTTTACAGACTGCTATTTCTGTGGAGTTAAATTATATAAGCGTTAACCGTGCTTTTAATGAATACCAAGCTATACATTGTAATATTGTACATGGCTGTATAAATACAGGCATAAATCACACCTTAGACTTTGTATGACCAGAGTTACTAAATGTGTACAATAAAGAATTCAAAGTAACTGGCACTAATTTTCAACTATGACTCACCTCTGTTGCAATGGGATTGTCATACTAATAGTGACTTTGGCAAGCACTACAAAATGTTATTAAAAGCATCTGTTGTCCATTGTGTACAACTCTATCTATGGCAAATACAGCAACGACTAAGAGATAAAAAAAAATTTAGAGTACTGATTTTTAAATAAAAGCTTTGATGTTTCTGTGATTATGGCCAACAATTACACCTCTGAATGAACAGGATTTAAAACAATGAAATAATGGCTTCATTGGAAACAATGGACCTGTATAGTGCTTGCACCAACACTCTCACTATTGTAAACCTCAGATAATTTACCCACAGATGTAAATTGTTCTGCCAAAGTTTTTACCCAAAGAGAAAGCTAGCCATTTAAAGCTATTGTACATAAATGTCAATATGCATAGTCTGAGGGTAGAGTCAACTTTTGTCTATTTTTTGATAGTCCAAAAGGCTACTTAATTATTAAATTTGATAGTCCAGGGAAAGTATGTTTAACTTGAGGCACTTTATTAAAAACATACACTCTGCTGTCATCAAAATCAAATTGCACTTGAGAGTGAGGCATTTTCTGACTGATAATGAAATGTTTGCAGTGGTGCCATGTTTCATCATGTAAATGCATCAAAGCAGGAGTCAAAACTTTGAGAAAAACACAAGGAAGGTGGGTGTAATTATGGGCACTGTAGATTGAAAACTAAATGCATCAGCAGCATAAGCATGAAAGATTATGTAAGAATATAAGAAACAGAAGCTGGACGAGACCATTTAGTCTCTCTAGCCCACTCCTTCAGTTGACAAGATCTTGAATGAACTACATAAATACAATTTTCCTGCATGATTGTCATATCCTTTGATGGAAGTTTTAACATGTAGAAGTCTATCAATGTCAGTCTTGAATAAACTCAAGGACTGAACTCCAACAGCCCTCTAGGGCAGAGAATTCCAAAAATATGTAATAGACTTTTAGCAAACGTAGCTTGGAGTGAAAATCCAGTACTGCTGAAAACAATACGTTTTTCCAAAGTTTTTTGTCTAATGTATTATACAGGCCAATCAATCAGCACTGCCTCTCATGCAGTATAAATGTCAAATTTCCATTTGAATTGACATTCTTGCAAATTGCCCTGATCAGGGCAAAATGTTTTGACAGATGTGTCTTTATTTCAGCAATATTGACGTTCTGTACAGCCAAACAACTGTTTAAACCCACCTCTATTGTGCAACTCAATGCAGCAGGAGGATGTAATAAGGTCTCCCATCTGATATCTAGCAATCGCACTATATGCTGATACCTTTAAGGGCTGGGTGGATTTCCTTTATAGGTAAAAGCCGAAAGAACTGTGGATGCTAGATTGTCAAGAAGGGTCACGAGACTCGAAACGTTAACTCTGGTTTCTCTCACAATCAGTTTTATCCCTAGTTTGTGTTCTCGTGCAAATAAAAATTATGTGTCTTTAGAAAATTTGCAGCAAGGAAGGTATTGTTTTATATAAAGCAAATTGAGAAGAAAGCAGTACTCAGTTGCTGGATACTCTACCATTACAGAAAGTTGATTAACTGAGCAAATATCTTATCACATATCCCGTTCAACATGTTTATCATTTCCCATGCTAAATTTTTGCAGCACATCCTGTGAGATTTGGTACAAGCAATTATAAGCTGTTAGATCAATAGTAACAGCCATTAAGAGCCTGCATTTGAAGATTGTACTGAACATCAAGGGGGAAACATCCAGGTCTACGGACAAATATTGGGTGTTTATGATAAAGGGACGGCTATAATCATAGTCAGATTGGCAAAAACAGCTTGGATGAAGAGTTCATAGAATGCATTTGAAATAATTTCTTAGAGCAACACGTTTTGGATTTGACCAGAGAGCAGGTTATATCAGATTTGATGTTGTGTAATCTGACAGGATTAATTATTGCCTCATTTAAAAAAAGACACCCCTAGGTAGCAGCAACAACAATGTTATTGAATTTTACAGTCAATTGAGAGGAGGAGGAAAGGTGTGCAATGGTGAGTGGCAGCTCAGATGATTGGCCAGAGAATGACAAATAGGTCGTACAGAAGGAAGAAATTAGAGTGTGAGAGAAAGCTAGCTAGACATGTAAAAACATAAATCAAGTTTTACAGGGCACTGGTGAGACCACATTTGGAATGCTTTGTGCAGTTTTGGTCTCCTTTTAAAGGAAGGATCTAACTGCATTGAAGGCAATTTAAAGGAGGTTTACAAGATTGCGATCTAGAATGAGTGGATTGTCTTATGAGGAGAGGCTGGATAGGCTGGATTCACTTCCTCTGGAATTTAGAAAGGAGAGGGTAGGTCATTAAACTGTTTAGGATCCTGGATAGATTTGACAGGGTATATGTAGAAAGGATGTTTTTTCTTGTGAGTCAGTCTAGAATGAGAAAGCACTGCTTCTAAATTCAGCTTCACATTTTCAGGGTAGGCGGAAGATTTTTTTTGTTGTCTGGGAGTTGTGCAGCTTTGTAATTCTCTGCCTGAGAAAGTGGTGGGGGCAGGATTGTTGAGTAAATTAGTGTGAGAACTAATGTAATGAATCTGAAATACATTTGAAATCTTCAACACACTGGAGAGAGGGCTCATAAGTAACCCACAAGCGTTGGCAATACATCAAGGAAAATTTTGGAACTATCATTGCAGTTGCATAACCTACATATCAGGACGTGTCTAAAGAGATTTCCCAAATTATATTTCTTCCTTCATGGTTTAGATGATATGTCTTGTTCAAAATGAGACTTCGAGGGTGAGGTTTTCCTCCAAAGGCCTCATAAAACCATCCTCCTGCACTTGTCTTCAATTCCCCTGAGCCACCTTTCTGTGAGACAATCACCCCACGAGGAGAGTATAAATGTTTCTTATCTTCTCAGCCCTGGATCCCCTAAACAGTAGGCCTCGACCGCCAATCTTTAGGATCCAGAAGCCGCCGGCCTCTGATTGGCCAGCAGCTTCTGATAGCCCAGAATGCCATTGTCCAGGCCGCTGCCTCACCAAGAAACCCAGCCAAGATCACCTGCCAGCTCTCAATGAGATGGTTGGGATACAATAGGTCGGACATTCTCACCAATGGGGATGGCAACCTCATTGACACCTAACATGCTTGCCTCCACACTTTCTTTAAAAAAAAGTCAGAAAATTGCTCACCAAAATTCTTTCTTGATTTGCTTGACAGCAACCATGTGCAAATAGTGAGCAGAACATGACCGAGCTCAAGTGAAATAATTCATGGTGCTCAGGCTTTGATTTTAAGCAAGATTACTCCTACCTCACCCCTAACTTCAGACCATTTTGTTCTCATTCAATCTTAATTTATAACCTGCATCAACATTTAGCTTGCCATCTCTGATCTACTGTTCCCCACCATAGCGCAATCAATAGCCTCCCCTTGGCCTTCTCCCATTGAATAGGATGCAATGTTCATGCTCTTTTGACTGTCATAGGTTGCCAGCAAGAGTCAGCCCAGCAGTATTCTACTGAAGCCTTACCAGGGTCTTTGGCTGGTTCAGTCTCTCCAATTACTCCCCAGGTCCCAGAAAGATTAGGTCTTATTGCCGAAACATGCACAGGATAAATAGATATTGAGATGAGAAACTGGGGTGTACAGGGCATTCAATCAATGATGTGCTAGCATAAGTTGGTGTCTCCATGAAATGAGGGAAGATAAGAGGTGGTGAAGCAGGGGAGCATTGGAGAGTGGGAAGAGAATGGAACATTATAGATAAATGCATTTAAACAGTTGCACAGTTTTATTAATTGCTATTTCTCAAATGTTCATAGAAATCTTGATCTAACAAAAGTCTTGAATACTTCTAGTAAACTAATGGTTTATTAATTAGGATTTTGTTCCAATAAAATTTGTAGTAGTACGTTAAATCCCTAAAGTTTTCTTTCTCCATAAGCATTATTTCATGTCTTTGTTGTGCTGTTTGTTGCAAACTAGTAACTACTGACAGCTTCATTTTGCAGAAACCTATGTTTTAAAACTCCATGTGGAAAAGATTCTGTCAGTTCTGTGGGGCAGATACAGTTCAATGCACAAAGAACTTTAGTTCCAGTCTATTATCATTCCCCATTTACATTTGATAATTACTGAGTCAAGTTCTACTTAAAAAGGATAAAACTGTGCTATCTGATATTACTAACAATGTATATGCAAATCCTGTATTTTTCATTATTTTAACTCTTCGTTTACTTTAAACACATTGAGGCTTTTGTTAAAATGGTACAAGGAAAATTTTTATACAAAAGGGTTAGTAATATTTCATCATATGATATCAACTTTAAATTTGTTGTCAAATGATATTATAGCAAAGGAAATCTTGAGTTTCACAACCTTGGGATAGAAAAGGTGATGCTCAAAATTGAATGTTGACAATAACGTATTGTCTACAGGCATTGATATTCCACAAAAGTATTGATTAAATTAATTGAAACAATGAGATTACTCCAGATTTTAGGCATTACAATGCATATCACCTGGTTTAACATCATGCTACACTTGTGAGGTCTTTTACACAACAAATAGGACATGCTACAATACTGAATTGGCAGTACACTATTCAAAAGTAGACATCACAGCTGTTCTGATATGTCAGTTCAAAAATATTCATAAAATGCGATGATGACACCTCACAAAATATCATTAATAATGTTCTCCTTTTGTTTATTTTACCAGAGACTTGAATTATAATGACCTGGCTGAATTTCCTGTAGCTATCAGAACTCTAAGCAAGCTTCAAGAGCTGTGAGTATCACTTTATCAATTATAAAGAAAGCAGTTATATATAGAGTTAATTGTGAAAACCATCAGTAATTGTACTATGGAAGAGAACATGCACCCGGTCTGTGTAATATTCCTGAAAACAGCAAGGGAGCTTGTACATTCTCCAAAAAAGTGTTTTGGAAGTATTCAAATTCAAATTCCAAACACAGTGACTATGCATTACATAAAGTGTCTGAAAACACTTAACTGATTTTGAGACTGTTGCCTCAGAGGGGTTAAAGATGGCATTTGTAAGCTAATCTTAAATCACGATAGGATTTGGTTGGAGCCATGGAAAGGAGTGCAAGATAACATGACAGTATTTCAAAATTTGCTTCACAACACTAAACAATATTCCATTCTTTAGCTAGCAGTGTCTGTTTTTCCATCTCTCTTTTTTTAAAATCCTAATTTAAACTAATGATTGAAAACATGTACAATGGTCTAAAAAGGAAGATTCCCTCAATAGGTTACATGTACTAACTTAAGTTCTAAATCCATTATAAATAATCGACTTATATATTGAAGGCAGATAGCTTTAAAGCTACATTTTTCAGAGAATATATGCTAATACAAATCAACAATTTTTCTACAAAATCCATCACTGACGTAAGCAATTAACAGCTTGGTAACAATTTTCTAGCGTAAAAAGTCTGTGGGTTCAATCTTGGCACCAGACTGTTTTAGGCAGGCCCTGGGGGAATTTTGGATTATTGAGGGTGCCATCATTGAGAACAGACATAAAAAAAGTCTGCCTCCCTATTCCAGTGGTTCAGGGTGGTTAACTTTACCAAGGCATGATTCAAAGAGTCACAAGTTTTTTTGATACCCAGTCCAAAATTCCTCCTACAACCAATCCCACCAAAAAGAGGTTAATTGATAAATCATGTTATGGCTGTTTGTGAGGTCTTGCTGTAAACAACAACAGTCACTTCATTCCAAAGTAATTAATTGTATGTACTGTGATTTGAAACATATTAAATCCAAGTTTCTCTTTATAGGAAATGATTTGGACTCTTGAAAAATGGTTGCAAATACAGGAAAATATGTCAAAAAATTAAAGCTTTTCTTTTAAAGAGAAAACAACAGTTACATTGTGATGTAATAACTTTCACGTTGAACTTGACTGTTTTAACTAATTGGATGATTTTTGATGTGTGTTGTAGGGGTTTCCATAACAACAATATCAAAGCAATTCCAGAAAAGGCTTTTGTTGGAAATCCCCTTCTTCAAACAATGTAAGGTTAATTGCTGTCATCTTGTATATCCATTGTTACTTAACTCTGTTTCAGTGTGTCTATGTTTGGTTTATCTCATGACAATGCTGAACAGTCAAATTTAGCCTTGATTGTTACTGTTTACAAAAAATTGTGGCACTCTGAAAATTTGCTGGGAAATCAAGTATTACCTTTCCAAAGTATCCCTTGGGAAAACTGAAATCATGAAAAATGCCTACACTTCCTTTTAATTCAAAGTTTCAATATATTAACTCAGTGAATAGGCAAAATCTACACCGCACTTATGAGCTGGAATTCATCTGGGGCATTGCTCAGAGGATGCGACATGTATATCCAGGCGAGGAAGGTGAAAAGTTGACATGCTACCATTTAGGATCACCGGTCTGATGAGGAGTAGAAGTGGTTGAGGATAGTCTTCAGGAGAGGATTTGATTTGACTGATAATTATTGTCAAACAGTCTTGTCAATGCTTGCTGTTAACATTCATATCTGAAAAACTGGTTTGAATTAGGTACCAAAAAACTAGCTTTAGTCCACAAAAGAATTTTTAAAATTTCCTTTAGTATACAAGGAAGGGTGAGCAGACTGATAAAACCAAAGTAAAATCAACTTTTATGCTCCAGTGGAAACCAGTATTTGAGTTAGTATGCTTCCAGAGTTACTCTGCCCAACTCACTGATGTTGAAAACTAACTATGTCTCAAATGGTTGCATTTATTTTGAATGGATTTTACAAATTTAGAGCAGCATGAGACCTGATCTGGAGTTGAGAGGCTTGTCAGAGTGTGAACTATACCTATCAGCAGAAAATAACCCTCCTCCTTTCTATTTCTTTTCATACGTATATAAATATCTAAAAGTATACCTTAGTTCCACAAAGTAATTTAATTGAATAATATGTTTAATTTCAACTGTTTAAGAATTACTTTGGACCTTAAAAGCTGCTACTTACATAAGAGATAAGTATCTTGAATAACAATTAACATATTTATAAATGCAATAGTAAAAGAGCAGGTGTGGACTTAATCACACACTTCCAAAAAATATCTTTTATTTATTTTTCTTTGCAGAACATAACAATTATATGATTATGCGAGCTCAGCAATGCCATTTGCTTAGTTATTTAATATAAATAATTCAGCTTATTAATAAAATTACATATTAACTATACAGTAATTCAAGGTGGGCCAAATGTCTTTCTTAGTTAACTCTTTAATTATTGCCTTTAGTTAACTCTTTAACTATTGCCAAACTTAATTGTTTAACTATTTTATCCCTACATCTCAAGACTTCACAAGAATATGTCTTCATTCTGGCAACAGGAAAGACCTACAAATCATTTGTTAATGACCAGCATATTGTTGCCATTTAGTCTGTTTCCTAGACCGATTCTCAAATGTTATTATTAGTTAAAGAAAACTCTTCCCCCATCATCTGTTCAAGCAGCTACAATAAAACATATGGGTTCATGTCGATTGTCCGGCTGGTTTGAGTTACTTCTACAGGCAACTCTTGTACATTTTGTTACTCAAAACTGATTCTACACTATCTTCACATCAGTAAAGCAGATGTGAGCTTTGACACTGATGGATGTAGTATAAAAACTTATCTAAACAATTTATTTCCTTTTTAGTCATTTTTATGATAATCCGATCCAGTTTGTGGGGAAATCAGCCTTTCAGTATCTGCCAAAGCTTCACACCTTGTAAGTATGAGCTGAGCCATTTGTTCAATTTCAAAAGTTCAAAAAGCTGGCCCAGTAGCTTATGTAATTGAAAGCTTGACTCCCAATCAGGAGGTAATGAATCTAAGTCCTTGGGGTGTTTGCCGCTGGAAATTGTTTGCCTTAGATGTTGAATTTAGTTTTCTCAGTCCCCAAAAGCTGCATGCAGACAAACTCAGAGGAAGAAAAAGCTGACTCACTGGGCCTGGTTTTAATTCTGTGCAAGTCGATGGCTTTTGAATGAGTTAAAATCTCACCCTTTGTCTCAGTACATGTAAATTATATTTCCTTCTAACCATTCACACAGAGCTTTTCAAATTCAGTGTACAGAGATCCTTAACATAACAATTTTGTGGTTATAAATATATATATGATGTAGAATAACATGCAGGAAGTAAATAAAGCATGAAATTATTGTTGTAGCAATAGACCTTAAAGCGTTGAATATTTGAGGTACTTGCTCAGTTTAATTTGTAGTGCGCAAAAGTTTGTTTTCATAATTTTGATAAAAGTTTTAGAAACTGCAAATGCAATTTAAGAGATGCCTATTATTATACATAACGTATTGATGTGCAACAAAATTCCTGGATTATTTAAACTGGTCAAGATTATTGGACTTTTGAACTATTTTGAAGGAAGTTTATAAAGCAATGATCTTTTCAAAATGTTTTCACTTTAAGATGGTGAGGTAACTTTATACTCAATTTATAATGGTGTCACTTTTGTGCAATACTGCCTTCAGATGCAGTACTACATTACAGTGTGACAACAAATGGAAATTATCACTGCATAGGCTCATAAAGAAAGGGGGAAGGAAGAGAAAACATTCATACAACATCTTTCAAGACGTTAGGATATCACAACGTGCTTTCCGGTTAATGAAGTACTTTTAAAATGGAACACCTGTCAGGAAGTGGACAGTAAAATTTCATATCAAAATTCCCTAAACTGCAATGAAATAAATAACCCAGAATCTGTTTAAAATATGTTGCATGAGGGATAAATATTGATTAGAACACAAGGAGAATTCTCTTGTTCTTCTCTGTTTGTGCCAGGGATATTTTGCTTTCATCTGAGAACTCAGGTGGAATTTTCTTCAAGCACTTGGGAAGGTCAAGTTCCTATGGAGTTGCAAGCATTACAATTCTGTGTGCATGCAGTTGTATGCAAAGTTACTTCTAGTAGCTTCTGAACGGAGCATAGAGTCTGTATGATGTGAATTGGAAGCCATGTGCTATTGAGGTGTGAAAAGGGTAGAAGACATGCTTTAACTCTGTAACTACAAATAACTTATGAAAGAAAGAATGTAGCCAAAGAAAACCAAATTAGGAAATATGAACAGCAAACATTAAAATTATAAACTATAATTAATAATTTTGTGAACATCAAATTGGCTATGTGATCTTTATATTGCAATTATAATTGCTAAAATAAATTGAGTTTATTCAAACTCCCCAAGAGGATAGTATAATTATCTGTTTTAAATGTTATGGTGCAATAATTGCAAACTTTCATCTTATGTCAGTTTTTTTTCTTTTAAGTAATGCACGAAGAAAGTAATGGATTTTTGCTGTCAATTCCAGGTCACTAAATGGAGCAATTGAAATAAAGGAATTCCCGGACCTTAAAGGAACAACTAGCCTGGAAATACTGTGGGTAGCAAAATTATGTTTATCAAACTTAGATTCTGAATGAACAGCAGGCACTATTTTGCTGCAATTATTGCTCTTTTCTTTTGATGGCATTCATTCATCACAAATTATCCATTACATTGTCAGTTCTGTCAGTAAAAATAAAGGTCATGTACTGAGGAACTTCTCGCATGCCTAACTCCAAATAATGGCATAAATTTTCTGCTTCTGGACAGGACCCTAACTCAAGCTGGAATAACCTCCCTTCCCAGGGGTCTCTGCCAACAGCTCCCAAATCTACGAGTACTGTGAGTATGGTTTAATTCCTGGTTATACATGTATTTGATTGTTAATCCTTAGTGAGTAACTCCAGTATCTGTTCACCGTGTAGAAATAAAGCAGGAACTGAACTGCTTAGCTCCATGGGATGATTGAAATTTTACTTCAAGAAACATTTAATAGCTTCTTTCCTTGAAGAGAGATCATAAAGCTTATATCTCATCATAGTAGTATACTACATAACACTATATAAGCCAGACTGGTCTTATAAATCTATTCACCATCCTTGCTTAGAGGACTTTCAGAATAATTATTATAGATTTATATCAGAAGAGATGAATGCAATGCACGTAAGCCTATTAAAGCATGATATTTGTGATTCCTTTAAGTTTAAATGTAAATAGACCTACAGCCTAATTGAACACCATAATTATAAAAAAAAACACACACTACAATGTAAGTATATCTTGCTATATGCCTAATTTCTACTACACAAGCTCTATGCTTCATATTTTAAACTATAATGTTCTAAACTCAGTTTGTCCTTTGTCTCACTTTAAAGCTCATATTATCCTTAGTTTCATGTAGGTATAATCCCACTCACTCAGAAAGTTAAAGATGTAAGCTTTATGACTTCTCATCAAGAACAGAAGTTGTTAAATCTTTCTTGCAAGTAAATTTCTGTCTTTCTATTGATCTAAATAGTTTGAGAATCAGTAGGTTCTATGCCACATACGGAAGAAATTCTGCATAAAGTAACTCTGTTGGTTATGTATCTACAATGACATTTCAAATGATAAACTTGTAATAGGTGCCTTAAAATTGTACATTGGGAAAATTATCATACCACAGTTTAATGTTTTCATATTTAATCATTTAATACATTATGTTAACAGAAGCATTATCAAACTTACTTGAAAAGTGAATATCATATAAGCCAGTGACGTTGACAGCTGATACCAGAATAACAGCTGATACAAAATTAATTTAGACTATCTCATAAAGTTAACAATATATTATACAAAGATATCTTAGAGTGACATCAAAACTGTAATTTAGCATTCTGGGGAAAGTAACAGGTATAAACAATTTTTACTGTGATTATGATGCGATGTAAAAGTTTAAAGTACATTAGTGCCCTGCTATTGTTTAGCTGATATTTGTGTGAGAACATAATTTCAGGAAAATTTCAGGTAAAAGTAAGATTCAAGTTGATTTTTCATTTTAGCAGATATGTCAATCCTCTGCCTACTTAGATTTGAATACAACCAAAAACTTATCGTAGATGATTTGTGTTCCAGCTAAAAGTACATCAAAACACTAAAATAACTGGTGGCAATGAGTGTGCTCCAAAGGAAAACCCTTGGCTGATGATATCAGGATGGATCATTATCATTATTTCAATGAAAGAATGTTCCAATATGACTAATTTTATTGTTGGAGGAGTCTTTAAATCTTCTGACACATGTTTATGAAAAGACATGAACTGCCTAATAGTAAGTGAAGAAGTTACCTTTTAGGATTAGTTTTCTTCAAGCTTGCTGAGTTTCTCTGCAGTTTCAAGGAATTTCATAAAAAGGCTTCAGCTGGGATTTTATTTTTTCAGCATTAGTACTGTGTGTGCATTGGACATATTTTCTTAGTATTTGAAGACCACTTTCAACTTTCAATTTAAAAAAAATCAACAAATTTAGATGGCAACACAAGATAAAGATCAAAGAGATGCCAATATGTCTACCATAGTTAAGAGCCTAGTGATTGTTTGAACTGAACAGGTTCAAGTAAATATCTCAGTTCTTCCACTAGTGAAATATTCCAGGCCTGAGTAGATTTGAATTGCTGACGGTATTTTTTAAAGGAAAAATACTTCCTACAATAATGATAAACAAAAGGTAAAATGTTGCTGAGATAACAAGGTGTAGAGCTGGATGAACACAGCAGGCCAAGCAGCATCAGAGGAGCAGGAAAGCTGACGTTTTGGACCTAGACCTTTCTTCAGAAAA